CCGTGATGGTCGAGATGAATCAGCCTGTAAAAAAGACTTTAATATGGCCATTTGTTCGCAATATGAACATAGCTGTTTTGATCCTTATAAAGCAAAACATATATATTGTTTGCCAATTGAAAAGGCCGGTGATGGTATAATCGATTGTTTAGGAGGACAAGATGAGCGTTTGGATAATTATTGTTCATCGAAATATTCCTTTGATATTACGCGTCGTTATCGATGTTTAAATTCGAGTTTATGCGTTCGACTTGATGATGTTTGTGATGGTCATGCACATTGTCCGTTTGGTGATGACGAAAGGTTATGCCCATGGAGAAACGAATCTAAATGTAAAAATGGAGAATTTGCATGTTGGCATGAAAACAAATGTTTAGAAAAACGCAGACGCTGTGATGGTGTGCAAGATTGTAGACTATACGAGGATGAATGGTATTGTGATTTAATACCAAAGCGGACATATAAACCATTTCTACTTGATACTGCTTACAGCCAGTATCCACCAATAGATACAGAATTGTCAAAAAGTTTGATTTATAATGACATTCAACCAAAAATAGATGTTCGATCAAATATAACTGAGGATCTATCTTATGTATCCTATTGCAATAGAGGTATTTTTATTTGGTCAAAGCATTCTGGTGAAACTTGTCTTTGTTCACCAGCATACTATGGCGATAAATGTCAATATCAAAGTGAACGTTTGACAGTTTTTCTACAACTTCAGGTACCTCTTAGTTTTCGTTATACGATTTTCAAAATCTTATTTAGTCTATTTGATCGAAATAATTCATCAAATATTCTTAGTTCGGAAGACATCATACACGTACCGCACATTCATTCAGTATCTTACAAACATATCGTATATCTACTTTATCCAAAGTTAAGAATAGCGACAAATTCGTGTGCTGTTCGTATCGATTTATTTATTGTGTCTAGAAGTGAAGTTGAATTAAAATTATCATGGTATTTTAATATACCATTTGCATTTTTACCGGTCAATCGTTTAGTAAAAAGAATTATCTATGTTCCTGATCACAATGAATCTACTTGCTCAATCACATGTTTACATGGAAAATGTCAAAATTTTATAAACAATAATCAAATACAACATTGTTTGTGCAATAATGGATGGTCAGGATCTGCATGTAATATAAAGGTTGGAAAAATATCATGTGTACAAGGTGCAACATTTATCCATAATCAATGTATTTGTCCATTACGTCGATTAGGATCTGATTGTCAACTTGAACTTGACTTTTGTCATAACATTATTTGTCAAAATAATGGTACATGTATTTCATTAGATATGAAAAATTCACATCCCCGTTATGTTTGCTTTTGTCCAGAAGGTTATTTTGGTGATGATTGTCAAGAGACAGCAGCTAAAATTATCGTACGCATCGATAATATATTTTATCCACTTTCTGTTTTACAAATACCTATTGTTGCTATTCATGTTGTTGAAATTTATGATGATGCACACATTATGTTAACACAAGAACGTTATATTTATAGAAATGTTAAATTCAATAGTGAAATTACATCAATTTATGATGAAAAAAAATATTTTCGCAATAATTTCATCTATGCACAATTATTTTTTAATTTTAACAATATCAATGATCGTTATGGTTCATATTATTTAATAGTTTTGATTAAACAACAAGCAATTACAAAACTTAAAACGTCAATACTTGCATCTGATCGTTGTCCATATATTAATGAATTGCTATTGAATCATACAATAATCAATTATCCATTTATGAAAAAAGTTAAATTTTATCATCGTGCTTGTTATATTAAAGGAATACGTTGTTTTTACGATGAAACATATATGTGTTTGTGTGATCTTGATGTAGGAATGGATTGTCTTGTTTTTGATCATTCAGCAGGTAATTGTTCATCTCGAGGCTATTGTCTGAATGGTGGTCATTGTGTTGAGCCAATCCAAAAACAAATATCTCACAGAATAGATTTTGCATGTGTGTGCCCTGATTGTTAGCTATTATCCACTAAAGACTTCATTGTATATTTCTTTCTTCTAAAAGAAGATACTCTCTATTTTCATCATGTGTTCTATTTGAACTGGTTCGTACTATGGTAATCTTTGTCAATTCACAACTCTACAGTATTCAGTCTCATTGGATGCTTTAATTGGAGCTGATATTGTTAATGAATTATCATTCATACAGCAAAGTTCTAGTGTTCAGATTACATTAACAATTGTCACTTTGATGATTTTTATTGGATTTATTAATAATTCATTATCTTTTTTAACATTACTTCGACCAAAAACACAAGAAGTTGGATGTGGCTTTTATTTGCGTTGTATTTGTCTTGTTAGTCAATTTAGTCTATTTATATTTGGTTTAAGATTTGCTTATCTCTTAGTCACGCAATTTGATCTTTGGACAACAGATCAATATAAATTGAGTATTGGTACTTGTATTACATTAGAATTTCTTTTAACAATTCTACCGTCTATTTACGATTGGTTAACAGTATGTATTGCTTGTCAACGAACGATTACAGTTGTTAAAGGTGCTCATTTTGATAAGACACTAAGCAAGAAAAGAGCCAAATACGTCGTTTTGTTTGTTGTTTTAATTGTTATTTTAAGTTCATTACATAAACCATTTCATCGGCATTTAATTAATGATCCACATTCTGCTAATGGTCACACATGGTGTGTAATAAAGTTCCATTCGAAACGATTAGAGAAATTTGACACATGTGTGAATATTATTCATCTCGTAGTACCATTTCTTATTAATTCTGTAACCACTTGTATATTTCTTTCGAGTTTAACACGAAGAAAATCAGATTTATTACGAATAAAAACCAGTGAAGCAAGTTATAAATCAGTCTTAACAAAACAAATAGTGTTATATAAATCATTCATCATTAGCCCGTTTCTAATTGTTGTTCTAGAATTATCACGTCTAATACTGTCATTTGTATTTGCTTGTATCAAATATCCATGGCAAAAGTATTTATATCTAGTATCATATCTTATATTCTCTTTACCACACACAGCAACGTTATTGATATTTATAATACCGTCACAGACATATAAACAAGAACTAAAAGATTGTATGATGAATTTATTAGGATATTTGAAAAACTAAAACTCAGCTTGTGTCTGTGCTCTCCGTGTAAACTTTGCGATACTGCTGATCTTTTACACGTAATATAAATGTGTCTGATTGTTTTATTTGCTAGTTCTCTGATATAAGGAAGACAAGAAAAGAAAAAGATGATGAGTTTATCCTTGCTGCAAACTCACTTTCTCTATTTTGATTTTNTAATACCGTCACAGACATATAAACAAGAACTAAAAGATTGTATGATTTATATAACACTATTTGTTTTGTTAAGACTGATTTATAACTTGCTTTTTTGGTTAGAAATAATTGGTTTAATCATTAAAACAGTTATAAATAATTTAATCGGTAACGTGCACGAAAGAGTTCTCATCTTTTATACACTGTATTTTTGTTCAATCTCAGGGCGTACAGGTTTTGACTCAAGAAGCAAGAGCAAGGAAAATTTATCGCTCTCTCTAACTGTCTCAATGACGAACAGTCAAATTTCTGTAGCTTATACAAATTAATTTCTTTCAACGATTATATGGTC